GTTCTTGGAATACTTGGAACTCCTGGTATTTTTTGGTTGTGAACTTACATACTGCTCTCTTTGCATGTCAGTAAAGAAAGATTCTTGGGCTTGATGACAAAGAGAACCCTTCCCCCCCCTCAATACTTAGTCTTTGTATTCTACTGATTATGCCAGGCTGTTGTGATTAAAAATAGATCACTTTTTAAGTAACCAAAGCAGTCTACAGATGTATGACAAAGTTTCTTTATTGGCATGCAGAGAGCAATCTCTTCCATATATTGTAGATCTTATTTTTTTCTCTCATTAATGCTTTTTTCCCTCCACCAGAGGTATATTATTATCCAGGTCAGGCTCCAATGTCTTTAAGATCTCCTCCTATTACCACTTTATCATAAATACATTCATTCAAGTATTGAAAACATTGACAGAACATAATAGGAGAATTTAAATTAGGTCCATAAATATTAAGCATAGCTATTACAGTTCCTGCTTCCTGACATCAGTAAGAATTTGTTGCACATCAATTGGCAATTCTTTTTGAAACAAAATAGCCACATATTTAGCTATCATTGAAGTATTTGTAAGTAAATTTCTACCACACAATATTTCTAGATTGTTATATTCATTCTAAACTTCATTAATAGAGGTTTATCCTATTCCACTAAATGAGTCTCCTGTAAATAAGAAATATCTCTCCTTAAAACATTTTAAATATGCTAAAATTAATTTGGTTTTTAGGTTCTCGAAGCTCTTTTTAGATTAACTTCATCCATTAATTTTATTTTGGCCCACTTATCAATGTTTTCCCAATAGCAATTTATTATACAACCTGTATCGTTTCACAAATATCTAGTAATGAACTTCACTATATTTAAATATTTATCATATTTTCTAATACTGTTCACAGATGTAGGACCTTCATAGGAACTCAATATTCAAATAGCGTATTACATATGCAGAAAAAAATGTGATGATAAGAAATTAAAATAACAAAGAATAACATCTATAAACTATCAAAAGTCTTGTTCCTAGAACTTTTAAATGGACAAAACGGTGCATCATAGGGCAACAATTTTTGAACCAAAGTACCTTAAATGGTTAACTTACAAAATATGTTCAAAATCCAGGACTCATGACTTCTGAGGGAATGTAATGTGAGAAAGTTGTGGCTGCTTCAGTAACTGCTGCTGCTTCAGCTCTGCTGTACTTCTGCTGCAATCATTTGATGCTCATTTTATGTTTCATGACAGTTTCCCAGCCATTCTCGCAATGCCTCATTCCCTTCTTCACCCAGCAGCAGCCACTTACTTACCTGTATGCTGGGAAGGGAAGGAACAGGGAGGAAGAAATCCCCCCACTCCCAGCCCTGTGCTCTTCCCCGACCTATGTGGTACTTCTTGCACATCTTCTTACCTGCCTGCTAGCGTTGGACTTGCAACTTCCAAGACTTCCCCACTGACTCTCTTACTGCAAGCCACCCACAAGGAAAGTGAAGGATAGGAAAGGGAGAGAAGGAGGGGGGTAGGAGGAACATAAGAACAATGAGGAAGGGAGAACACGAGGGAGGGATGTTGCTTCCATCTCTGTGCCCTGCCAGCTTCCCACAAGAAAATTCAATGGGAATGCCAGCAGGAAGTCAAAAGTCATTCCCACTCTCAATGCTTTTTTGCCCAGACATTCTATGTCTATGTTTAGATAAGAAAATATATCTGAAACAATAATCCAAGGGCACACGGATTGTTTAGTTCTTATAAAACTGAAAAGAATCTTACCTCTTCCCACAAGAAATAAAGAATTGCATGACTTCTCAATAAGACAGCATTGTAGTTCATCTCTCTTATTACAAGTAAATATGCAGAGCAATTTCAAACCAAGTGTTTAAACTCAAAGTTAAAGATTTAAAATGGCAATATGCCCAGACTCATTATTGTGAAGTTGCTAAGAGTACAGAGACAAGAAAAAAAAAATCAAGTACTGTATCTTTACAGTGAGGCTTTTCTTTCCCTCACCCTGGGCAGATTCACACTTCTCCCTTAACAATTGCTATGAAATGAAACACAAACTTATCCATCAACTGATTTCAACAATAAAGGTCTCTGCATTCATGGGGTTATCAAATCTGTGAATCTGATCTTGATGATTGTTGGAGGTAATTGCTGGAAAGCACATAAAATATTGTAGTTGTATTGATCCAGCGAGTTCAGGCTCTTATAAATAATCTTATTTTATCTGAGACTTCTTTGGTGAAACTAAGATAGATTGATACTTTAGTTTGGCTAGAACTCCAATAGAAATTTTATCAATTCCTGGCAAAATATACATAGTGTCATGGTTGACTACCTACACAGCCCTGCTTGCAACCAGTCAACAGCAATGGGGGTTGGGGGGGGGAGGCATTGGAATGTAAAGGGAGGTTTGGGAGGGAACTCTGGAATGCAAGTGTGCCGCCAAAGTCATCAATTGGGAACATCCAAGGCAGACAGGCTGTTTCCAAAATAAAGCAAGTGCAACTAATTGATGGACATTGGAAATGGGAGGGTCAAGACAGAAAAGGAAGTTTCCCTATACTGTTTGCGCCGAAAATGTCCAAACTGCTATGCTACTTCTGTACCCATATGGCCTTTTTTCTATTGGAGAAAAAAAATGCCTCAGGAGTTTCTTTTGCTGCTTAATGCAGTGGGACGGTTTACACATAGAATCTCATCTCTTGTGGTAATATGAAAGAAATGTACAATAATGATATTGGTACTAGCTCCGGTATTTTGCCTCATGAGAGAAATTTTAAACACATGTTCAAACCTGGAAAGTCCGTTCCTAAAAAGGGGAGCTTTCTGAAAAAATCTTCCATAAATATGGCCACGTTTATAGAATAGGAATCAAATATATATTTATTTCATTCTCCTCTCCTGAAGTTGCCTGAGTGAAATTTCAGTTAGGCCAAGAGCCACTGGTACAATTAATGAAAGACCCCCACCTTCACCTGCTATCTGTCTAACTGTAAGTTAAATTATTTTAGATTAAATATGTATTTTCCCACCTGATGCTCTCTAGAAATGAGAGCTTTCAGAATTTTTAATATAAATATCTTTGTCCTGAATTTAATCTATACACTGGACTGGACTGAAAAGAGAATTTAATAAATAGAATCAATTTTTGCATAAAACATTGTTAGTTTCCAATTTCATGTATATTGATCGTAGAATGAAAATAATAATATAAGTACTACCCATTTTAAAATGTATTTGCTACACTGAGATTACGTTTTGTGCCCCAAGAAAAGAGGAGATAACAGCAGCAATATAATTTTCTCATGGTAGTACATAATTTGAGGGACAATAAAGTTATCCTGAATAATTTGTTATTTAAAGCACTTACTCCACATAAAAGTATTCTGACACTTTATATCCCAATAAATTTTGTGCCATGATAGAAAACCAGATAACTTTAATTCCCATTTTTTCTTGGGTCTTTACTGATTAAGATTACATTTAGTTTCCATTAAAATTATTCAAATAGGAAATTTCAAGAAGACAAACCTAGAAATGGTATATAAATATTTCAAATCTCCATCCATCCATACATCTATCTATCTTTATTTAGAAAGACATTGACACATTTATTTAGAAAGAAAAACCACTAATAAGGTACAATTTAGCAAAAAACAAAATTTAGAAGTATCGATGGCATTTAAAAAATACAATTATGATGTTTTACAGTTAAAACTTAATCACAAAATATAACTGCCTGGTCTAAAAAGCAATAATAAACACATACATGCATACCCACACAAACACAAAACGGGCTCACCAAATACACCAACCTCAGGACTGGCAATGATAACTATTTCAGATTATTTTATTATTTTATTTAGTGTAATCTAAGGTATCTATTTGTAAATGAATTTCTTTATAAAACATTATTTGCCACTAATTGTGACAGTTTACATATAAAGAGATCTTGGAACTGCTATTACAGAGAAGTAATTATACACGTAGCATAATAAAAAAAAAGGTCAAATGTATGTGGTAACCTATCTTGAAACGATATTTCATAATCTGTATTATTCAGTAAATCTTATTCATCAATATATTTCTTCTGAGTATTTTATATTTATAAAATTGATTAAAATAGTGCAACCACTCATCACCTTTATTTTAGGAAAATATTATTCAAGTCTCATCTTTCTTAAGTTAATTAAATGGCTATTTTGCTTGTCTGACAAAAATCACAAAAGAAGGGGAAATAATTAAGTATGAACAACTAAAAGTATTTTTGCTGTAGGATTATTTTGGCATCTAAGCTGAAAAAAAATATGCATTTTTTCTCTTCTTTGGTAATAATAAGGTTACTATCAATTTGTTGTTTCTTCATAAAAGTGATAACAACTTCCTGTAGGTTGCCAAATTTAACAATTAACCAATTGCTTATGTAAAATAAGCATTCTCCTCCAGATTTCCTTAGAAGAAATGTGCCCATGGGTATATATGTTTGGTTTAAATTTGGGGGCAGCTTGTTCACATAATTTTCCAGTCTGCAAATGACTATTATTTTGTTTCATGAGAATTTACTAACAGGTATGTATTTGTGGTATTTGGTATTTTCTAGCTGCAACTGCCGATACTATTTTCTACTTAGGAAAGTTTTCTCTTTAAATAACTTCTTATAAGTGCTCAACTGCAGATAAATTTGGTCACTGATTTATACTTACTGTTATTCTAGAAATATTGAAAAATCTCAAATTTAGGCTACAATCTTGTAATCATTGGCCGAGAGTAAACCCGATTAACCTTTTTTTTGAATTAGGTTTATGATTGTGTTGGTAGCCTTTTATTATTTTATTAAGAAAAAAATGCTTTGTTTCTCTAGTTGTTTCCCTAATATAAAAATACTGGAAGTAAAACTTTAAAAATTAAACTTTTGCAAAGTTTTTGCTTCCATTATTTTCATATTTTGTCTACTGTTCTTTTGACATTTTGTTATCAGCACAATCTTTTCACAACAGTTGCTTATAAAACATTTTTAGTTGGACAGAGATTTATTAACAATAGATGACAATGGAAACATCCATTAAATACATCAACAAGAAATCTTTAGAATCCTGTTTATCAATACAAAGGAAGTAAACCATGACATAATTCAAGAATTTCTAGTTCTGAAGAAACATGATAAATAAAGGCAATTGGATTATTTTATCTCCTCTCACTTAGTATTAATGCTTGTTGTTATACCACTAATCTTCTAACTTAAAACTTGCATTTGATACATGAAGTAGGTATTCTAAAAGCTACCTTTTTAGAATCATAATATCCTGGAGACATATAAACATTCAGTTCTGAGTGGAGATATTCTGTGCAAAATATGGATGCCCATAACACAGGCAAGGTTTCTTTCAATATTTTGATACCCATACAGTTTTTAGGAGCCCATATGTAATTCTTTGATTACATTCTTCAGTGCAACAAATAAATTATTTCAGATGGAAATAACATGTTATTTCTTACGGCAAGCTAATACAATCCTTGAAAATAATGTTTCATTATATCCATAAACGGTAAAATCCGAGTGCTACTGTAAGGCACGTAAATACTGAACCTAGATGAAGAAAGGGAGAAAAAAAATATACATAAGGATTTCTAGGTATAAAAATAAGTTTACACATGATTAGGTTTTAGTCCTTTCAAAAATACAATTCTATCAGCATTAAAATGTTCTAATATGTTACTAGAATTGTCAGTGCAGCACAGCAATGTCCCCCCGAATGGAGACGAAATGTTTGCAGCCAAATCACCAAGCTTGGAGATCAAACCAAGAGCCCAACTACCAACCTGAGCTACTAATATTTAAACACATCTCTACTAGAATCTTGCATGCAACTGTGTACTATTAGACAACGTAGAAACTAATGTTTTGCTAGGCTGTAGATCATAGCCTATTATGTTTGGCCTTTCAGAGAATGAAGAAAATTGAAAAGACTAATCATCAAATAAAGGGAAGAAATACAAAGTAAGCAAGACTAGAGTAAAAATATTGTTTAAATTATTCTTTCAAGTTATTTATCGCAATATTAAAAAGTTTATACTATTCAAATTTTATACACTGTTATGTATATTAAATTAACTTTATGCTAATAATATGTGTTTTATAGATACTATCTGTTTTAGCAATTAGGCATCAAAAATGAAAGCTGTACTATGTAACTAGTAGGGAACAGTTATCTGCGGCATTAAACACATAACCAATGTAGACAAGAGATTATGCCACCAAAATATACTAATACAGATAATAATGAGGGGCTGTATGTTCTAAACTAATATGCTAAACTAAACAGTTTCTGGTGTCATTTTTGACATAAATATTAAACATAAGCATAAACTAAGCAGGAAAATAAGGAAATTGACCAAGCATATATGTAGACAAAGGATAACTTACCAGCTAAATATTTGATGTTGTCAAGTTTGTGTGATTCAAGCATTGTTTTCAGACCTGCAACTTCAGTATCTATTTTCCTATAAGTCTGTGTTAAAGCTCGATCTTGCTGGGCATGCTTAAAATAGGGAAAACATTTTTAAACAAATCTGTCAACATTAATAACAGTTTTAAGCATTTTATTAAAATATTAGGCAAACATATCCCAAAAATAACACTGTAATTTTTTTATGTAACATGTTCTCTTATTTTATATACAGTTTTAAAGGGAAGGAAAAATCTATTTTTGCTCTTAAATAATATGACATATGTGTTTATTATTACACAGTCCTAATTGCTTATTTACAGTATTATAATCAGATTGAAATACTGTATTCTTTTTTCTCTGTCTGGCAATTAAAAATTCATTTTTAATAAAACTTATTTGAATATGTGTATGTAGGGCAATACTATTTAAATAATTTCACAGATTTAATACAAAAGTTGAATTAAGTATCTTAATGTATATAGTATTAGGGGTTTTTTTTAATTTGTGAATGACATTTCATTTCAAACAGATTTAAAGCTTCACCAACCTGAACCAATTCTCAATAACCTATCAAGTCTTCGTATTGTTTTTGGAGATACATATCAGTTGGAGAAATTAAGCTTTGAAAAATATAACAGGATTTACTAAGAACAAAAGGTTAAATTAGGGAAATATCTAAAGATTTTTCTTACTTCTAGATGATATTCATATTCTGAAATAGATACCAGTTTAAAGCTGATCTTTGCCATATATTATCATCCATCATTTTTGCGTAATACATGATTTTTAATTTCCTAAAGCTTTAAAACTAAAAGCTTTTCATTTTTATATTGCACTATAATTTTTCTAGTAATTCATGAAAGAATAAGAACCAGCTGTAATGGTAATAGTCGGGCAGTTTAGATAGCAACTTCATTATACCACAGCTTCGTCTTCTGTGTCAGTTGTGCTCCTTCCTGGGTCATCAAGCCCTACTCCTAGTCAACCATTCTCTGGACACTCCTAGATTGGATCCGGACACTTCCAGATTGGACTACTGCAATGTGTTCTACATGGGGCTGCCCTTGAAGACTTTCTGGAAATTACAGCTCATACAAATGCAACAGCGCAGGCAGTTATGTGCATTTTTAGAGCAGCGCATATTACACTTCTGTTCCGTGAGCTGTATTGGCTGCCAATTTGCTTGCAAGTCCAATTCAAGATCTGGTTTTAATGTTAACGCCCTTCATGGCATGGATTATCTGAGGGACTGTCTCTCCCAGTTATATCAGCCATCCATCTTGATCGGGTAGAGCAGGCATGTTGTGGGTCCCATTGGCTAGAGACCTTCAAGTCACAGGATAGGTGTCTTCTCCGCAACAGTACCTATCTTATGGAACATTCTTTCCCTCAACGAAAGCTCCATCCCTTTTGGTATTATGAAAAGCCCTCAAGTCTTACTTATGTTGTCAGGCATGAGGGCTCCCAGGCAACTGCTCAGACGGCTCCATTGTTGAGGTGGCTATTTTTATTTTTCCCCCTCCTGTGGTTTGTATCTTTTGCTTTATGATATGTATTATTAAAAAATACATTTATAGTGTATATTGTTTGTTTTTATTTATTGTTCTTATCTGATTACAGGTTTGCTGCCCAGAGTTTCCTTCGGCAAGAGGGGTGGCTATATTCATTTGATTATTTAAATAACGATGTGTAAGGAAAGGACTTTTATAATGATTCATAATTATATTTGTAATTCTTACCAATTCCACTATTTCTGTTCTCATTTTCAACACTTTTCTATCGTTAAGTGAATACTGAAAAAGAAGAGTAGTTAATTATCTTCTGCTTCTAAAAAAAAAAAAGGCCATCTTCCACTTGTCATTAATCGTCTTAAAATATCACTGCAGCTATAGTTTCTGGCTCTCCCACATTCTATTTTACCTTCTTTACTAGCAATTATATGAATGAAATGCTATCTAAATACCATGAGGTAAAGTTCCAAATCAAATACTTCTAAATTACATTGGCCTAGGGAAACCATAAATATCTTCCAAAGTTTATTTTTAGCTATGGTTCTTGAACTCATTAAGCACTCAGGAGAATCTAAACTGTGGAGCCAGTGAGGCTAAAATAATTTATTTCAAGTTCTGTAAAAAGAAAAAGAAAAAAGGTTATCTAAAACTAATGTTTTAATCCATTTATTTAATTTATTTTAATCCATTTAATCTAATGGATTAAAACATTAGACAGGTGTCATCCTCACAATACTATTTGATCAAATAGTAACATAATTAAGAGAAGCTGCTTCAGTTAACACAGAAGTACACGTTACAGTATGACAGTATTTCTGAACAGCCTTTATATGAAAGGAAAGCATACATACCAATTCTTTTACTCTGCTTTTTTCTAGATTGAAATCTAGCTTGCTATCTGTTCGCACTTTGGAAGTTTCATCCTAGAAACAAATTGCATAGAACTAAACTGAATGCCTGTGTTCAGATTCTTTAATCAAGAAAAGTAATACTATATTTAATGAAGTTTTCCACATTCAACAGCCCTAAATTATTCCAGAAATATGTCATTTCTTTTATTACTCTATCAAACTCTCCTCCTGCTAAAGAGAAAACTAAATAAAAGCATGAAAATGTTACTCAAAAAATGTTTACTCAAATGAATACTGCTCTTTATATTACAACAAACCTCAACATAATTTATAAAAGGTGCCTTAAATTAGCTGAATTCTGAAGGTCTGCAATACAATCTTTCTGTTGCTATACCAGATCTATTGAACGCTTGCACAGAAACATCTGTCAATGATTTACTTTTTCAACAGCAATATTTCAGCACATAACCCAGTGCGAGAAACGCTTCTAATTTAGAATGTAAGGAAAGACTTTATTAGGCATTTCCAAAAGCAGTACATAATAATGTCCTCAATTTACAACCATAATTGAGCCCAAAATTTTTGTTGCTAAGCACAGAAATTGTTGTTAGACAGTTAAATGAGTTTGGCTCCATTTTACCTTTCTTGCCATAGTTGTTAAGTGAATCACTGCAATTGTCAAGTGATCACTTTGGTTATTGAATGAATCTGGCTTTCCGTTGACTTTGCTTGTCCGAGGGGCACAAAAGGTGATCACATGATCCCGGCACA